TAGGGTTTTTTATTAAACAAACAGTTTGATTGTTTTTTGAGACAAGGTCTCTCTACAGCGTTCAGGCTGGCCTAGGACTTATTGCATAGTCCATGCTGACCTTGTACTCCAGAATTCCCATGTTTTACCTTCCCAAGTGTGTCCCTACATCTGGCTCTTGCTTTATTTAGTAGGTCTTGTAGTGTTTTGATATTCACTTTTGCAAACTCGGTCTGTGTCACCCATCCTGTTCATCAAAAATGGTGCTGACTTTTGCCAAAGGCCAGTATTTAGAAGACAAACAGCATGGGCTTAGAACTTTGTATGGAAGGACCTGTTCATTATCTTCCCATTCCACAGAGCGCCTAGAGACTGCCAACAAGCAGCTGGCTGAAAAGGAGTATGAAGGGTCAGAGGACACCAGGAAAACCATCTCTCAGCTCTTTGCCAAAAGTAAGTCTAGAAACTGCATACGCAGGTATGGATGTGAGGATGGGCAGTACAAGTCTGGAAATGTCACTTGTCTGGATGGAAGTAAAGTTTATGACGATGTTGCTTGCCTCTCTTTAGCGTTCTAGAACCAAATGAATGTCTTTTTTTCTGTTACTGCATGAAACACCAGGAAGGCTGCTGCCACAGACTCTAGTCACATCAAAGGACTGTTCTCTGTACTAAGTCAGCAAAGCCCATTGGGATCCCTGGATTGTCATGGCGAGCCGAAGGCACAACCTTAGGGCATATTGTCCTTAATAATAACGCTGAAGGGATTATTGTAGGTGATTCCATATACTGCCTCTGGTTGATGGGATGAACATGTGGGGCAATGATTAATGTTTGGAATCCCCAGCCTGTACCAGGGGTTCCCCTACTAAACACCTATTGCAGTATCCTATCATTTCACACTGACAGACTGTGACGATAACCAAACTGTGAGGATAACCAGAGGAGGAAGGGCCTCTGCTGTGACCTGAATTCATGGTTCGGCTTTCAGAGCATACAGGGCTGAGCAGGGCTGTGCTGTCCTCATAATAGTGTTTCCTTTGTCTGGAAATACTCCGAGGACTGTAACAATGAATTCATCCTCTTCTTTATCGGCCCCTAATGGACTCCACCCAGCTAGACAATGCCTAATTCTTTCCAATTGCTATAATAAAAGCAGCAATAAAAACTTCATAGTAGATTGAGTCCACTGGGAGAAGAAATTGGGTTGAGAACAGATGAACTGTCCTTGTTTCTCTGCAGATGCCTAAGGTCGGCTCCACCCTCCCTCAGTGCCTCTGCCATTGCAACCAATGCTTACTGGGGACTTGTCAGTCTCTTCCATTTTTGCTGGGCCTCCCAATGACCCTTTCATGTCATTCTGTGCCATTTCCAGTTAGCTTTTACAAGTCTGTTTGATCTTCATTTACAATATTCCCTTCCCTGCCTGGGTCGCTCCTGGCTTCCGAACAGTTTTTCTTCCTCTTTGCCCAGAGCCTGTCAGCCCTTTGTCAGTAGTCTAAGAGCCAGGAATGTTGTTTTTCTGGTGTCATCAGAACCTAGGGTAAATTGGGAAGTTGCTTTTGTGGTGTCACGGTTACCCTGGAAGCTCGTTCAGTGGCAGGAAGATGGTGGCAGCCTCCCAGAGTAAAAAAATATATGGATTCTTGCCCTGGATCTGCTAGTTTGTGCTCTCCATGAAGAAATGGTATTTTGGGTGCTCTCAGAGCTCTGCTGTGGGTCTATAAAACATAGTTCTTTACTAAAGCAAACTACATAACCAGCAGAGTGAAAGACCCTCAGAAATTCAAAAACTAGGTGGGGAAGAGAGCATGCCCTTTGTGCCCTTCATTTCTTTTGCATTTGGGCATCCTAAGGGCCCTGCAAGGTGGACTGTAGCAGGAAGAAAGAAAGCTCTCTTGAAAAGCCTTCCCTGGGGGTGTACTTCAGCAACCCCAGAGAGACAGAAGCAATTGAACCCAGAAGGCAGCTGGGTGTAGTAGAAAGGGCTTCAAATCAGTTGAGCGTTAAGTATGGAATCCACCCATCATTTTTCAGTTGGGGGAGCTCTTGCAAGTTAGTCATGCTTGCTTTCCAAATCCTGTTTTCTCATATGCAAAATAGAGACGTGAAGACTAATACCTCATATCCTTGTTCTGAGGATTAAGCTAGCACAATGCCTGATGTGTAGTGAGTGTTCAGTACATGTTCATTGCTTTTCAAGGCGCATCTATTCAGATCGATGCATATATGTCACAGTGGGAAATGAGGCCAAGCTGGCATCATGAAGATAAGGTCCAAATCGAAACTATTTATTTGAGTTTCTCGAATTTGAGGTTTGTCTTAGATAACAGGAGAAGTACCTGAAAAAAAAAAAAAAAAAAAAAAGAGGAGACGTAACTGTATATGTAAAGGTCCCCTGTAGCTGTGCTTTAGTATCAAATTCAGAAACAAAGTTGTTCCTCTTAAAGGGGAGACTTGGCCTTGATAGTTTACAAACTAATATAAAAGAATCAGTTACATCCTAGTAAAAGACATATTTTGAAGCTATACGATTCTTTGCCATCATTGATCACGGTGATGGCGGTGATTTGCTTTAGTAAGTTTTGGTGATGCTTTCTCACTTCGTTGCGTTACGTTACCTTATTGGATCCTTAACAAACATGGATTAAAGAAAACAGCAATTTACCTGTGTTTTTATCTATAGAGTGTGTTTATCCTGGCTTAGAATGCCCATCTTTCTACGTATACAACTCTCTTGTCCTTGCATGCTGTCTTTTTCCTATTAAAACCTTCAGGATATTAATCAAAGGCATTTCAAAGTTATGGTCTGACCATTCCAATGTCCTTGACTTACGTGGGTCCGGTTTTGATGCAGCCTGTGTCTTTTACGAAACGGCATTTTGTCTTTTTAGTTTAAAAATAGTCCTGTTTTGATTATTGTTTAGGAGCAGGAGTTATGTAGTGGCTAAGAAAAACTGTGGTAGACAAGTCTTTGAATAATACTTGCCCCGTATTGTTCTGAGCATAATACTCCTTTCTGATGTGGCGTAAGGTGTATGGCAAGTGAAATGGTATCTAGCCCTAAGATTTGCTTTCAGTAAGTCTGTGCTTTTGGCCTGGAAACCTTACAAATGTGGCTCAGGCCACACCCATGTTTACTGCAGTGTGGTCAGAGGGGCCTAGAGTCACGTATTTCTTTTTCTCCAGCCTGGGACATGTTAAAATGGACATTATCATCCTTCCTCCAGACTGGCTATTATCCAAAATATTTCAGCAAGTTAGGTTCTGGTTAAACTGTTTCTCCTCAGGGCATGCCTTGTTGAGAGGAACAAAATGCTCTGGTAAATTTCACAACGCTTTCTTTCCCCTCCTGCTGCTGATAACCCAAGGAGATTTCTTTTCTGATCTCCTGGGAGAACCTGGATGAACACCTGGCTTCAAAACTTCCAGAAATGTGGGTGTTCCAGTATGAGTGCCTCTCCGGGGAATTAGCCCTCCAATTTGTACATACTGAGCCGCCAGCAATTCATCAATTATAGTTCAGGGATTTTGAACCAGCCTCAGCTCTCCATGGTCTTTGCCCATGGAATTCTAATTTGGTCGATTGTGATTCCTGTGTCTACCTGTCTCTTACTCTGAGAATAGACACTTACTTACTTGCCCTGTGAATTTCTGGGAGAGCTCTCTGCCGCTCTCTCTCCAGTCTTTTCTTTTTAATCCAGGTTCTTTAATCTCAGTTAAGATGGAGTCACAATTTCCTATTATTCTATTTTAGAAGAAACGAATTTATAACGTGGTTAGTAGTTGACCTAACTGCTTTTCATGTTGAAGTCAGGAAGGTCCAGGCAGGGCAGAAGTTAGAATCAAGGTCCTGTTTAAGTGGCCTTCCATAGATTTGAAGCTAAGAGATGTGGTATTTATTCAACCACCCTGTGGTGGCTGAGATAAATACCACTTCATTTTGCCATATCATCTCCTGGTACAGATTTTGGTTGTTCAATTTTATCTGAACAGAGATAAGGGATCGAATGCTCTTTGGATTCCATTTTCTCTATTTCCATGTCTCTTTCTCCTGTTCATTTCTAATATATTTTATTGATCATGGTTGACAGGTTTCTCCTTTTTGTATGTTACTCTGCTTCTGACTGTGATCAATAATAAATATACCAACTTTTTTAGTGGCTCTTCCATTCTAAAGACATAGATGGACAGAGATGGACATACTCACAAACACACATGCACAGATATGTGTCTACACATTATGCATATACTTACATACAGAAGTATACATACATACATGTATGTATGTATGTGTGCACATATATACAACATATGCTGTAAGCACACAGATACTTTATTACTGCAAAAGCTATAAACATTTACTTAGGTGAAATGGATGCCTACAGTTCTGATTCTGAATTTTTCCTCATACTCTGCCCTGTTCTTTCCCACAATACCTCCATACCCAATCTGTCCTGCAGAAGAAAGGGTAGGAAGGAACATAAGATGGCTTCCAGTTTTACCTCATTCACTAAGAACTCAGGGCTTCTACGAGAAACAGATACTGAGCTAAAGTGAGTAAGGTTGGGCATGGTGTTGGATCAGGCTTTCCCTAGAAAGGACGTGTTGTCTGTCTTGATTTCAGCAAAGATTCTTGCATAAGAAGTAGGATTTGAGGTTGCATCTGTTTTATGAAGTATCATTTTTAGACTATTTGGTATATTATAATAAGGAAACTGTGGAAAACTGTGTTCAGCTTACTCTTTTGCCAACATACGAACATTTTGTAAAAGCAAAACTCAGGAAATGAGCTTACTCTGCTGTATGTGTATGCGTTTGTCTTTATGTTGTGCTTAATTCTTTTTTGTGACATTTTACATCTACTTATCCATTATTTCATATTTACCCAACAAGTTGGTGGTTGATCCAGTGGTAAAATCTACATGTTGTAAAGTTTAATTCTTTTAGTCATGTGCTAGAAGAGTGTCCACTGCAAGTAATATATATGACTTATTAGTTTTGCTCACGTAAGGCTTTGAGTCAGCTTCAGGAAAACAGTATTGCAATTTTGCTATTCCCTGTCCTTGCAGATAAAGAAAGCCAGCGGGAGAAGGAGAAGCTGGAAGCAGAGCTGGCTACTGCTCGTTCTACCAATGAAGACCAAAGGCGACACATTGAAATCCGAGACCAGGCATTGAGCAATGCCCAGGCCAAGGTGGTGAAGCTGGAAGAAGAGGTAGGTGTCCTCAGGTCGCATATGAGCCTGAGAGTAACAAATATAGGGGACTCCTGGGCTTCTCATGCTTTGGAACATGAAGCTTATGAAATCTTCCAACAGAATGAGAGGGGCCATCTTTTGCTTCTGGTTACAACTGCTGAGACGAGTATGTTGACTTTGATTTCATTTTCCTTCTCTGCACATTTCTTTCTTTTGCTCCATACTATGAAATCATTACAGTCAAAGGAGATAATCTCCCATTCATTTAGTGAACTGTTGTTCCTGCCCTCTGTTCTCCCAAATACCCAGCCCTGTCTTAATCCTCTTCTTACCAGCTTTAAAGCCTTATTTTCCAAGAACTATAGGATGATTCCAGATATTTTAAAGCACTCCAATGACTTTGAAATTGGAATGGTCCTATTCTCTCCATACTTGATGGTGAAGTCAAGCCTGTCTCTTGTCTTAGGTCAGACATGCATCTTTGACAATTTGATTTGGAGATGGAAGCAGTCTTCAGATGTCTGGGACAAAATAAGACCCAGGGAGAGTTTACAGTTTATGTCAGGAGAATGCATTGGTAAAGACCTTTGTTGTGGCTTAGAGACTAGTTTGAAAGAATGTTATTATGTGGTGTGGCTGAATTTGTCAGCTCTTTGTGTGAGGGGCTGGAGCCATCCCTTGACAAATACAGGGGCTGCTGAACTATTAAAAGTATGATTTAAATATGTATTTGATTAGTCTCCATGTAGAAGTTGCTCTATTGCAACACTAAACTGTGTTTTGGTGAAAAAGAGGCATCTTTTGCAGCTGGACTGCCATTAATTAATTAATCCTGGATGTTGGTCGTGAATGTACTAGAGTAAGATTAAGTCATTTTTAAATGTTTTCAACATTTGGGAATGCGTATATTCTAACAAAGGTATGATGATGAAGTGTGAATTACTAAGAAATGAAAATATTCTTAAATTCTATTTTGAAATTTGAATTGTTTTAAAAGAAATAAGTTTCTTGGATCTCAAGAAGCCATTTGGGCTACATAGCAAGTTTAAGGCCAGCCTAAGTTACATACTAAAACCCTTTCTGAAAACAATAGTAATACGCCCTCCCCAACATCTTACAAGTTGAAAGCCTTATTAACCCAAATAAAAACTAAAATTTTAGTTTTAGCAACTAAATGACATTGTGGCAATTGATGTGAAATGTCTTCCCTTCCTCCACTAATTGCCTGCACCCTGTCCCTCACTAAGAATGGCCCTGGTTTCGGGAGATCTCCAGACTTAACAGACTTCCTCTGCTGTTGTTTTTGAGCATTAAAGACCTGTTGGAGTTAGGTCATGGATTCAGTTTACTGAGAGATAATACCATGTAATCCATGATATACTTCAGCCTGATTTGCCTGTGTGTTGCTTCAACTTGGAGAATATCAACATAATGTGTTACTTCTTCAGTTCTCTATCTTAGAATCATACTGTTACTTCATGGAGAATGACAAAGCCTTGAAGGTGAAGCCTCATCACACTATCCTAATGTGACTGATTCCTGGGGGTGGGGGGACTTGGTTATTCAGGGACAAAACAGCTCAATTTGGAATATTACAGTTTAACTAACTCTGTAACAGTTTGATATGAGGTCTTTAGTATTTTGTCTTCACAAAAATCAGTAGCTGTTTCTGTCTTATGAGTGCTTTTCATGATGGGTGTGGTGGCACATGCCTGTGATCCCAGCAGTTAGGGGGCAGAGGCAGATGGATTTTGATGAGTTCAATGCCAGCTTGGTCGACATAGTGAGTTCTAGAACAGACAGAGAGATACACAGACCCTGTCTCAACTGAAAGTGAGAAGAAGGGAGACAGAGATTGATTCATGAGTAGATAAGGTTTACTTATACTTGGTGGACATGGCTTAAGGAAGGCCATGTTTAAAAGAAGAGAGATACACTAAAAACCAGCCTGTGTCCTGTGTAAACACATTGTATGGCCCACATATAGCTTTATGGACATTCCTTATTGCTCAGAAATTTGTAGTTTGTCCAGGGAAACGTTCTCTTGCTTATTCTGCAAATACAGATTTACCAGAGCATTCTCAAAACAGGCCTATTTTGAGGAGAATATTTTCTTGGTTTTTTAAGTTCAGGGTCATTCAGGTAATTAGTTTTCATTGCATCAAGATGGTAGAGAAAATTATAAATGTATTGATTCAAGGACCCTTGGGGTTCTTTTATACCTTCATCTCTTGAAAGCCCACATGTAGGTACATTCCTTGACATTCATTTCATTTTTCTAACTCACTGTGCCTCCTGCCTGTACATCACTGCAGTCACCCTTATAAGCATTCCACAGAAGGGCCACCTCAGGCAAGAACTGTTTTCCTAAAGCCGTGACTTTCAATGTCTTACATGCTCAATTCAGATTCCTCTGTGAATCATGTTCTCATGCCATCTACAGAGCTATGTTGTTAGGGTGGGGGTGAATAGATCTGTTTCTCTGACAAGTCACTGTGATACAGACCATAAAATCAGTCTAGAGCCGGGTAGCAGACAGCCAGATGAAGTAAACAATGCGTTCCTGACCTCCTTTCTCTTATCTTTTGGGACACATGGGTCTTATTGAAGTTGACACTGATGAAACGTGTCAAAAGAGCTCTGTGTTCTAAAGAACTGCAATATTCTCACAGTCACAGGGATCTTCCCCATCCCCTCCAATTTAACCTCACTCTGGAGTTTCCATGGATGTCTGGCATGTCCTCTCCCAAGACTCAAGGCAGCCTGGGCTTCTGGCCGGCTGCTACATTAGGAGAATACAGAGTTAGAGCAGTGGCTTAGGTAATTGTTTCAGGGGTGGTGGGAAAAACAGACTTGGCAAAATCAGAATGGGAAGATGTTAAGGGTGAGCATAGTGAGCACAGTGTATAGGAATGTATAAAACAGCAGGTGAGAGGACTGGCGGAGAACGAACACTATTCAGATCGAGGAAGAAGGGGCTAAAACTCAACACTAGAGTGACTGGCAATGATTTAGACTTTTCACTCTTGTCTAGATATTCAGTGTAGTCCTCAAAGTCCTGTTGCCATGCCAGCCACTTCTCAAATGTACCTACACCTTGTTTTATTCCACTGCCACCAGCATTCTTCTTCAGGGCTGACATCTGTCATTCTTCCTATGTCCCTCACTACTAAATTTACTTGGCTTTTTGTTTTGTTTTGTTTTGTTTTGTTTTGTTTTGTTTTGTTCTGCTGTATCACCTCTCTACAAAGGAACACTCTAGATTCCTCCTTCCTAGCAGTAGAGGAAGATGTCTTATGTACAAACTTTAATTATACATGATGTTTAATACTCTGTAATAATTTTTAACCAGTTGGACTCTGTTGGTGAAGTTTTAGCTTATAAAATAGTTAAAATGTGTTATACATTTGGGTGTTCCGCTGATGAACTATCGATTTATTTGAAAGGCATTTCATCAAAGGATGAAGTTTCTCATGCCTGTGACAGTGCAGTTTCTTTGCAGTTGGGTGTTGGTTGTTTTTAATCCATCATGCTAAAGAACAAATTTTGCCCACAAACCAAATTGAGATGGGGGTCTCCTCGAAGTTTGCTTCTTTCACTCATTCCTTTATAACTATGGCTTTTTAAATTCTCCAGGTAGAAGCCTTGTAGGTTTCTTTACTCCCAAGACAGCAAGTTTCCAGAGGTGGTGTTTTCCTCTTTAAGTCTTTTAATATCTACCATTTTACTGCAGACTTCTTGGCAAAGGACAGAGGCAGCTTGCTAATACCAGGCTAGTGTTACCAAATTGCTTCAGTGTGAACCCTGACTTAGAGCAGGGTCACCGGGTAAAACTAAATCTACTGAAAGCTCCCTGGGCAACATAAAAACACATTGTATGAAAGTGAAGAACAGAGAAAATATACTGTAGATAGGACATTTACAAAATACTACTTGTAGTCAATGGAAGGCAAGAGACAAATCAGATATAATAAAGGCACTGAACTGAGTTCTATATCAGCCTTAGTGTTCTTGAGAAGATGGGTGCCCATATATGTATGTCAGTGGTCAGTCAGCTAGCATTAATTATTTGTTCCCTCTACCTACATATCTGTATTTTCTGTCTTTGAAAATATTTACAGATAGCTGTTGATGTGGCTCAGGGGTAGAGCACTTGCCTGGCATGCACGTGGCCTGGCTTTGAACCCAAATAAGAAAAGAAAAAGAAAATGAGTAACAATAATAGACATATTTTCTATCCTCTGGGAACCTTGCAAATGTTACTAGAATCTTTCCATGGATGAGAATATTAAAGCACACACAGATTAGGCAGGACAGTTAGGGAGAAATCTAGGGAAAAGGCTAACACCATTAGCCCTGCTACTTGTCTCCCTGTAAAGAAATAGGAAAGTGATGGATTAAGAAACTTTCTTGTGAAGGACCGAGACAAGTGGTCAGCTTGAGGTGCTCTAAAACTAATTTTGTCTATAGCTATCTTTAAAAAAAATCAGTTTGAAAGACACCCACAGTTGTTGGAAGGAGGGACAAGATGCCATCACATGCTATTCATTTGTGGGGATCAGGTTTTCCTGAGTCAGAAGAGGTTATGGGATCTGCCAAATTCTTGGGAATGGGTTCAAATTCTTAACAGAAGTGCAGTGGCAAAGAGGACTGATTCAGCTCAGGGGGATTTGCCCTGTTCATTATCAGATTACTTTCCTGCTCTGCTTTCTCCTATTTCTTTCTTTCTTTCTTTTTTTTGGTTTTTCTAGACAGGGTTTCTCTGTGTAGCTTTGGAGCCTATCCTGGCACTTGCTCTGGAGACCAGGCTGGCCTCGAACTCACAGTGATCCACCTGCCTCTGCCTCCCGAGTGCTGGGATTAAAGGCGTGCGCCACCAACGACCGGCAGCTTTCTCCTA